GTCGTAGGAAACGCGCTGTCGCCCCCCCAGCTTCCCTGTCGTAGGAAACTGACTGTCGCACCCCCAGCTTCCCTGTCGTAGGAAACTGACTGTCGCACCCCCAGCTTCCCTGTCGTAGGAAACTGACCGTCGCACCCCCAGCTTCCCTGTCGTAGGAAACTGACTGTCGCACCCCCTGCTTCCCTGTAATTAGAAAACCGCCGCATCCCCAGCTTCCCTGTAGGTATCTCACCGAATCTAAAGAAGATTGGAATATTCCCAGAGGTGTCTACAGTTGGGCGTGAGCTTCAAGCAGACTTTTGGAAGAGGCACTGAACCGATTACTGGGGGGGGATATTAAATCCTAGTGAGAGTGCGTGCAGGGGAGAGAAGATTTGCGTTGCTGTCATATCACCTCTGTTTTATTACATGAGTGCGGTGTTTAACGTGTCCTTTTTTGTTTTGTTTTTTCCGAACACACACTTGGCGCCAAGAAGAAGAACGTCTACCACTGTAATAAATGTCGCCTTCAGTTCCTTTTCGCGAAAGACAAGATCGAGCACAAGCTGCAGCATCACAAAACCTTCCGCAAACCGCGTCAGTTGGAGGGGCTGAAGCCCGGGACGAAGGTGAGGCGCAGGACGCGGTGTCCCATTAACATTGCAGCGCGTCACGGGACCTGTCTGTAAATCTCCTCTCCCTCTCTCTCTGCAGGTGACCATCCGAGCCTCTCGAGGACCCCCCAAGTCCAGTTCTCTGACCGCCGCAGACACCCCAATGATGTTGCCACCGGAAGATATGACGCCCAAGTCTGTTCGTCATCCTGTGGACAGACTCGACCCCTTGCCAATTATAGCATTCCCCAGCCTGTAAGTTGATGGCGGCTGCATTTCCCATCATCCTCTGGGATGCAATAACCGTCACTTGCTAGTGGTTTGTCTTCATAAAGTACTAGTTAACATGTAGGCCCCCTGCTGTAAGCTCGTGGGGAACCTTCCTGATTGGAAAAACCATCTGTGGAGATCATTAACCCCTTCCTACTGCCGGGAGTCAACCCTTAAGGAGATCAGAACAGCGGAGGAATTGCATGGGCTTCCTGATCATGTGATTGCCTCTCAGTGATCATGTGATTGGGAGCCCATCTTATCGCCTACTAATTGTTGCTATGTGATAGGGGGCTGTCAAGGACAGCATGGCCGCAGTGCTGGGGGGCGTGTGATTGGACGCGATCCCAGCGCAAAACAGGTACACATATATTGTATGTGGTAGCAAGGAATAAGGCCGATCCCTGTGCTTCCACATATACCGTGTTTCCCCGAAAGTAAGACCTACCCCGAAAGTAAGACCTAGCGCTATCTTCAGGGATTTCTGTAATATAAGACCTACCCCGAAAATAAGACCTAGTTCGGTGGTAGGTCTTATATTACAGAGATCCGCTAGGTCTTACTTTCGGGGTAGCTGCACATATAATAGAATTTTACATGTCACAGCCGCAGCTCCC